CCCCCGAAAGCCCCATAACAGATGGGGGGCCAATAGGCCGGGGGGCCTGACCCGCCCCTCATGCCCTGGGGAAGAAGAAGAAGAGAGCCGCGCATCGTCTTCGCAGATGTCTGGCCGGTCGGCGCTCGCATCGGTGGCTGCTTCTTGGTGTTGGAGCCTCGGGCCTTGGGCGGGCTCCACTATCAAAGTCACTTAGTGCTTTGGCCGACAGGTCGCTGTGGCGATGATGGTATACTGGCAGCCTGATCACGCAGGCGGTAGCCCCCCTTCGAAAAACCCTCCCGCCTTCATTGCACACTCTTCCCTCCTGGATAGTTGTGACGGTTTCACAGACTGAGTCAGTCCATTGGCCGGGTTTAGTTTGCCTGGCCAGGCTGGTCCACAGCCCCAAGACCCTACCGCACCCCCGAGAACGCCCTGGCACTGGTTCCTATTGTTTTTGACTTCTGAGCCCTGCTAGCCCTTGAGGAGGTGCACGAGAGGCTGCTGAGACATTCGCAGCCCAGACTCCTGATGGGATCTAGACCTGTTGTCTCTGCGTGGAAATCGAGCATTCTGCGTCCATGCATCCTAAACCGCACGAGAGCCTCCCTCCCCTCCCCCCCTGAAACTCGTCAACAACGCCCTCCTCTCCTTCTCCCTCCGCTCCATTCAGTTGTGATGAGGTTGTGCTTTTCTGGTGCCTTGCTTCTGCTCAGCCTCCAAGGTGTAGCCGTGTAGCGATGCTTTGGTGGGTTGCGAGCAGGTGACTCTCAGCCACTGGCGGCGCTGCCCTGAGCTTTTCTCGAAGGTGACACCGCTTCGGTGTGGCCAGGGCTGTGAGAGCCTGAGGCAGGTTGGGGCTCAGGTGTCATTATTACATAAGAGGGTCGCAGGCAAAGGACAGAAGAGAACTTCGAACGGAGCGACACGCGTTCAGCCACATGTTTTGTGCCAGATGAAGCGGCTTCTTCACCATCGCACCACCCGTGCTTGAGGGGTCCCCCGAGAAGCTTGCCAGCTGGAGAAAGCTTCCTGACCTCTTGAAAGTGCTGCTTTAGGCGGTGCCGGGATCTTCCAGCCGTCTTGCAGCAGCTGGCCAGGGTCTGATTTGTTGTCTCCATCGGAGTGGCCTTAAGTGGGCTCGGGAGGCGCTGCAGCTGCCGTGGGCCTCGCTGCCGCTCAAGGCCCCCTTCCCACGACTTGTTGGGGCACGAGCCTTGCCTCGCAACCGCTCCGCAGCCAGGGGCTTCGACGCAGTCCAAGGCGGCGGAGGCCGGGGAGGGCAACAGAGAGATGCTGGAAAGGGATTTCGCCCACTGCGTCAGGATGGTAGTACTCTGGTCACCTCTGTGTCCAGGGCTCAGCATTCAGGAAGGCAGCGGCTTTGGGCTCGGACTCCCGTGGTCATAGGCTGAACCTGGCAAAGAACATCATCGGGGCCGGCATGCTCTCGCTGCCTGTGGTCGGGGCCCCACAGCAAACCCCCCCAAACCCAACACGCCTGAACCCCGACACCTCTGAACCACCATTACAGGAAGCCCCAGGTTCGAACGCGCCCCCCGAAACTTCCTGGAGCTCATATCAAGAACTATAGCAGGAATGAGGGGTTTCAGCTCCGAATCTCCAAGTTCTTTCAGAGATCTTCCGAGGCCCTCCGAGGTGCCGGCCTAGCGCCTTACGTGGTGGGCATCACACTGGCCGGAGCGCTCAATGCCCCTCGGCATCAAAACGCGGTTTGGTGGTGCTTCTTACAAGGCCGGAAAGGGATCGTAGCATTTGGCACTTTTTTGGGGAGCATGTTTCCTGGAAGCTCTTGCTTGCACAGCAAGATTTTTTTTCCATCATCGTACCTTCTCTTCAAGCTCGAGAGAAAGTAGGGTCAGCATGACAAGAGTTTGGTGGGCTTGAATCGAGGAGGGAAAGGGTGTGGTTTTGAAGGCTTCGTTGGAGTCCAAGGGGCGCCAAAATGCCCAGGCCTACACCTTCTTCCTGCTGGGCTGGTGCTGCGAGGCCGAAGGGTGCCCCCCTGCCCTGAGGAGAAGAACCAAACGCTGAAGCCGAAACCCCCGAAACAAGGTGTGTATAGTCTATAGAGTCATGTAAGAAACCTGTGGACTCTCCCCTCTTGAGAGGTGACCGGTGCCAGCACTTTCGGCGAGCTCTGGGCGAAGTGCTTTGGGCAACAAAATGCCTGGATCGCCGATGTTTCAGGCTCTGTTTGGTCGTTGGTCTAGCTCTGGAAGCCAACAGCTTATTCTCCTCCCCAACAAAACCACGGCCGCCTTTGTCCAGTCCTGATGAACAACAGCATGGCCTGCCTTGCGCACCTTGGCTTGAGCTTGGAGCTTCTTCAAGCCGCCGTGGTAGTATGTTGTACTACGATCCTAACATCCCCAGAAGAGCGTTTAAAGGTACTGCGTCTTGATGGGAGACTTCTTCTCCAAGGCCGGTGGAGACTTGCTGGGGGTGGGTGCAGATGCCAGAGATCTCTGGTCGGCCATGCTCGATGGAAAGGCCTTGGCAGGATTGCTTCCAGACAGCCCGCTGCAGCAGCCCCAGAAACAGATGGCTCAGTGAGGGTGACGGGTCCATGCAATGACGAGCAGCTCTGCTGTTGAAAGGGGGTACCCTCAGATGAAAGGAATTTCCAGCCTGCTTGGATCGCCCAGCGCCTAGTGCTTCGCGAGAGCCTCTCCGAGGCTTCATGGTCGTGGTGTCGACCTGTGCATCATTGGCCTCTGCCTGTTGGCCGTTCACCTGCAAAGCAGACTGCAGCGATGATAAACATCATTTACCACCCTAGCAAGCTGTTGTGTTGTCTTCGCAGTTGTCCAAGATAACGGCACCTACAGAAGCATAGCAATCGTGCGGGCGCTGAGTGGTTGGTCTTCGGGTGCTTCGAGGGCTTCTTGCTTTGGTGGACTCTGCTGGCCGCAGTTTCGTGCATGGTGCCGGGTTTGCAGTTCCCTACGGTGCATGGTTTGGGGTTTGCAATTCCCGCACTGCTACTGCCCTTGAGCATTGCCACCTCTCATTCCAGTGTTTCGGAGGCTCGTTACAGGCTTCAAGCCACCTCCAGTCTGGTTCCGGGGTTGAGGGGGGTCGGGCCGACAATGACGGGTTATACAGTTTGCGAGATTTTGTACTGGTTCGTTCACCGTCAGGCTTCATAGGGTTGCACTTACATTCGTATGCTAGGTTTTTACAAGTATGTTATGCGAATTTGCTAGGATTCGAGAGTGTCGGGAAATCGCTCAGTCAGGTCGTAACGCTGTATTGCGATTTCGAAGACTGAGAGCGGGATTTCGACCGTTTATGGGTGTGCCCTTCCAATTTCAGTTGCATGCAGAATCGAGAGTGTGACACGTTAGTTCGTTGCATTGCAGCCCCCTTTCAATTTATTGCAGCAGTTGAGTGGCAATGCAACAAAATCACGAATGTCAGGATCGGATAGAAACGACATCAAATCGGCTCGCATCGAGGGGTAACTCGAGACTTGCGGTGTCTTTCGCCCTTTCACGTTGACTGCTTCGTTGTCTTTTCATGGTTTGGGCATTTTTTTGCTTTAGAACTGTTAGTTTGTTGCTATTCCGCACCTTATTGGCTCCCGGCCCGACAAACCAAATACACCTTCGCCTTCTTTTGTGGCTATCTAACCGAGTCTAAACCATCTGTGGCTTTCGGTTGTCATGCTTCTTCGCTGTGCTCAAGGTGCCCCTGTCCTTGATGAAGGACCTCGCTCCGTTGAGATATGCATCCATCGCAGGCAAGTGGCGATTGAGTGACTCGAGTGACGCTGCCGAATCCAAAGAGGCCTTGCAGCCACGGCCTACGTCTTTCTGATGCTCTTGAAGGACGGTTTTCACTCCTCTAGCTCCCGTTTTTTCCTTTCTCTGTCTTGTCTTTGAAGGACTCCGTCAGCTCCGCGCGATGGGGTGCGGATGGACCGCTGGCGAGCAACGTGTCGCCCATGCGCCGCCCGGCAAGCAGTTAGTTCTTAAAACCCATCCTATCCGGAAACAGACCGCGCTTTCTCTCTGAGGCCTCGACTTCTTCGAGGCCTTGCGGAGCGGAGTTTCGAGTGCCGCTGCGCTGCGCATTTTGCTCTCTGAGGCCTTGGCGCTTTTTGGCTCGGCCTTCATGGTCCGAGAGCCCAGGCAAAGCGAAGCAGAGCCCAGAGTGCGAAGCGTAACGGCGGGGATGGCCACGGCCGTGCTTTTGAGGCCCACTACAATGCGCCGAAGTTCTACGCTCAACTGCAGGAGTCGGAGGGTTGGCACGACCACAGAGCTCCTCAACTCATTCGTCCGCCGGCAAGGGGTCTCATGAAGGGACATCAGAGTCCATGGCGCTTTGCGGCCGGTCAGACAGTTTTGGATTTCGGGGTCAGGCTGAGACGGTGCCGACCCACTCTGGGACCTTGATGGCATTCCAAGCCGAGAAGGGCATGACGCCGGGTTCACTTCGGAAATGTCAGCCACACACGCACCCGACCAGGAACTGAGACACTTTGCAATTCCATGTCCGGCCCAACTCCCAGTCCTCGGGCGTTATGTTTCCGAATCTAGCGCACATTCTCGATATTCTCGCGACTGTCGACGAGCGAAGCTTCCGGATGTTTCGATGGCTACCCGCTCGCTCAGCGACTTCACGGTCTGGAAGGTGAACCCATGGAAACAGGCTCTTGCGATTCAAGTTCATCCCGCTTGCAAGCACGTCGACAGCTCGGCGTCAGCGACAAATCCAGGACTTTCGATTGCTCGAACCTTGCCCTCCTCGGATCCCCGACCTAACCCAAGATCTGTGTGCCTTTCGTCCTGTCCTGTTGGAAAACGAGCATCGAGCTTGGGCTTCGACATCACCTAGCCAGGAGAAGTCAGTGCCGAAATTCGCCCTTCTGGTGTGCATGGCGTACGGCTTGGCTCTCGTTGTCTTCGTCGCTGGGCACCCAGCGGGGTGTTTTGTTGAGCCACTGCGGGTTCAAAGAAAAAGAGGTCCCTTTTGGGTCGAGCACAGGCCTTCGGAATGTGCGGCTTCGCCTTGTTCGGCTACGACTCGGACAGCTGGGCGGCTGGGCGGATGGCATCAGAAGCGTGGCAAGATGTTGCAACGCAGGAGGGCAACATCTTGAAGAACTATGGCTTCGGTCCGGAAGCAGCTCGGCCCGTTCTTGTTTAACGCCTGTGTTGCGCCGAGTTTCTAATTCTCGTTTCAGATGCTGAGGTGATGCTGGCCTGGCTCAGCATGGGCTTCTCCGTGGCCTTCACATACCCGCTGGTCTTCAGCGGCTTTCGCGACTCCTGCGCCTCCCTGTGCACAGCTCGGGACATGGGAGCAAAAGGCGCAGGCTTCAAGTGCTCCTGCAGCCTGCAACTGAGGCTGAGTGGCTTTGGCATTGCCGAATCTAGCAGCTTCCGATTGTGCCAGCCCCAGAGTCTTTCTCGCAGCTGAAAGAGGAATGTGGCTCTGCCAGGAGCTTCACCCTCGCGGCCTTGGCTGCCACGATCTTGGGTGGAACGATCTTCAGCAACGTGGCGCAGGTGAACGGCGTCAAAGGCCCAAGTCCTAGGAGCAGTCCGCATCCGAGGGTCTGAGAGCTACTCGTACAGTCGTACAGGTGCCATCCTCAGCCCTTGCCTGGCTTTCATCTACCCGGCGGCCATCCATCTCAGGTGGCCCCTTAAGAGTGGAGCCGCGTCTCAGCGTGGCCTGGGCTGCAGGTCCACGGCGAAGGACAAGGATGCTCCGGCTTCCCTGGTGGCGATGCGGCGGGGGAGCTACGGCCCGCGGCCGAGCAGTGGGCAGAAGCTTGCCGGTCTCTGCTTCCGTGAGCTTGTTTCTGCTGCTCATTGCACTTTCAAGCGGCGCCTCTCGTGACCCTTTCCGGCCTTGTCGAAGCCAGGCCCTTAGTGGGGCCAGAACCTCCCGTCACCTCACTCCTCCTAGATCCAGTTTAGAAGCGCTTTGCTACTGTAGGCCCATGGCCGACGGTGCGACAGGCAAGGCCGCGGGCAAGGGCCGAGGACCGGAAAGCCGCAGCCAATCGTCGCCATAGCGCCCCTTTGCCGGTAGCTCAGGACCGCCGCCGCCTCCGCCTCCCTCAGGAGCCTGGGTGCTGTCCGTGGCCAGAAAGGGTTGGAAAACGGCCCGGTGGCCAGGCAAGGCTGCCTCGAAGGGATCCAAGCATGCGGGGAGCCGCTCCTCGGCACCATTTAGCTGAAGTGGGAGTTCCGAGGAGAAGTTTGAGGTATCTGCGAAGACTCGAGGTGCGGCCGAGTCCATCCAGATCTTGGCCGTCCTCATGGACTGCGAGGGGTGCCTGGGTGAGCTGAGTGCCAGCTTTACATTTACTTCTTGCCCTTGTAGGATGGTCGGGAGTTCTCCTTGCAGATCGAGCGCCTCGAGTCTACCAGAACAGTCAGAAACCCGTCGGGCAACTTTGGACTCTTCGGGATTTTCTCTGGCACACCCAAAGCCTGTGCAATCCTGAAGTCCTTCCTCACAAGAAGAAGCAGAAGAAGGGCGTTACAAAAAATGCTCAGGTGGGAGGGTCGCGTGGAGGGCCTCCGGATGTCTCTGGGCACGCGGCTGGGGATCAGCTCGCATCGAGTGAAGCTCGCTGTGGGGGCCGAGGCGCCTGAAATCCCAAAGCTGTAGTAGGATAGGAGTATTATATTCTCGATTTCTGAGGGCTGCTACTTCGTAGAGGGGTTGTTGGGTTAGGCGTGTTTCTCAGAAGGATTCCTGTTCAATATCGCCGCACCTCGTTCGCGAGGCTTCACAAGCGCCGCATGCGAGCGTTGAGTGTCGCGTGCGTCCTGGAATGCTGCAAGCTTGACGGAAAATGTCATACTGGCCGCGTCCAGGCTTCAGGGGTTCAGGGCTTGAAAGGTTTGGATGCTCAGGGTTGCAAGCTTTGGATTTAGGATTTGGAATTGAGTTTGAGCTTGTGGCCGCGACCGATCCAGGTTCTGAAGAACGAGTCGACTGCCAGGCCGGACGGCAAAGTTCTCAATGGAGTGCGCAGCCTTTGCTTGGACTTTGACGCTCAGGGCCTGCGGCCTTTCGGACGGCTGCGTTGTCAACGTTGTGATCTTGCCGCCGCTGTGCCTTGGACCTTGACTCGCATTGCAGGAGCTTCGCCCGAAATGGACTTTGAGACTGGAAGCCTTTCGCAGGTACGGCACTCTGGGGCGTGCAGGAGTGGCCGCACCCGGGGAGGCTGTGCAGTACAACATTGTAGGGTGGTGTCGGGCACTGATTGAAGCTTGGCTTACCACAAAGTCCGTGCAGCCATCCCATGATGTAGGAGGCTGGCAGGCCATTGGCTGAACAACTTAGAAGTGTCACAGCTCAGTCGGTGTTTTGCAGTTTCCCTGCCAAGCTGTTGCTAACTCAGACCGCAAGATGCCTGTGCGTCTGCTGCAGATTCAAACCTGTGCTGAGCCACTGCAGGTCGTTGCTGCGAAGATGGAGCTTCATGATGCCCTGGCTCAGGCAGGCAAGCTGACGCCGATCCACACTTGACAAGGCTGCAGGCGCAAGTGGCTATCAAGGCCAACGGTGCAGCCACTTCGGTGACAAGACCGTTGCGTTGAGTAGAGTCAGTAGAGCATTCGTTTCACGGCTTCGTGCTCCGTGCCCAGTGTTCAGCAGCGGGCAAAGCTCCCGGTCCACATGCGAAGGCGATGTACAGTCCAAACGCTTCGTCGCTTGCACCTCCGGGACAAAGAAGTAGACATGAGCCCCATTTCACTCCTCACTCTGCGCTGCGTGCGCTTCGCTTCTCTTGGCTTCTCTCTCTTTGAATTGTTCCGCCTTTGGTGTCTCTCGGCCTCGCCGAGGCCTCATTGCCTTCGGCCTGGCCTTTGGAGTGCTGGCCTTGCTGGCCACCCACCCGGCTTTCCGCTCGCCTTTTCCGGCTTGCCCTTGGCCCTTGGCCCCCTTGGGCTCAGGTGATGTTTGCCCTGCCGAAGACCGACTTCACGGAGCTTGCAGCTGCGTACCCCTCCGGGATGTAGCCGTGCCGTGGAACAACACGGATGGCATTATCTTGATATGCTGCTCTGAGCAAGCAGTTAAGCAGCAGCCCGCAGACGTTCGAGTGCCCAAAGCGGCTATTCTACAAGGTTCCACAGAGTTCTTGGCAAAAGGATGCTTGCACCGCTGAACCTCAAGTGAACCCAGTGGTATTTCATGTCGCCTGAAGCGCAGGCAGTTCGAAGTCTACCATTGGAACCTGGAGCCCGTCCGCGTCCAGCGGGCTGCTCGGGCGCTGCGGGGCGCGGGTCTGCGAGCGAGACTGTAAGCTTCCAAGGCTAAAGGCTGCGTCGGCCGGCCGAGATGCCGGGCTCATAGGCCTGTCGAGTCAGGTTACGGGTGCTTTGGGGTGGGCTGCAGTAGGTCGGCCGTCTCATCGGACCAGAGTTTCCCCTTCCCTCCGACATCCTCCGACGAAGGTGCGGCCAGAGCGGCGATGCTCGCGCATATCGCGGACCGCACTGCTTGAATCTCCACTCGAAAGAACTGGGGCGCGCCGGACTCCTGCATGCTCCATCGCTGCGGAATTAGGGAGCGAGTTGCTGTTGCCGTAATCATAAAGCACACACGCATGCTGGCGTAAGCACTGCAAACATCTTGGAGGTGTGGCTTACGCCATGAGCCGTCAAAGGTTCGTGCCAATCAATCCCGTAGACAACCATGCGTGCGTGCAAGTACTTGTCAGCATTGGATCGGATGTGCACAGAAACAGACAGACCGAGACACATAGACTCAGACACCAAGACCCCATCCCACAGTCTCCAACCAGCCGCTTCGTAACCTTCGTATCTTAAAGAAGGCCCTATACTTGTAGGACACGGGGACTGGGCCCTCCGGGCGGATGGCCTCCGAGCCGCTTGCCTAGACATGGACACGGCTAGACGACCGCGTTGTCGGTTCAGAGTCCCGTGCCGCGCCGAGGGCAGAGCTTCCGGATGAGCGCCTGCAAGAAGCGGTCCGGCTGCTGCTGAAAGGCCGCGACCTGGCGGGAACCTCCTTGAAAGAGGCGGGGCGCGAGACCTCTTCGCGTTGTAGAGCTGCGAGGGATGCGCCCCAGGTGCGAGCCGACTTGGAGAAGAAGTTCAACCTAAGTGTGGAGCTTTGTTCCAGGTGCTTCTGATTCTCTTCGCCCTTGTTTTCGAGGAAGTCTCGCAGCATTTGGTATCGCTCCACAAAGTATGCCTGTGAGCCTTAAGACTGTCAGTTCTGACCAAGACTCGGCTCGCACAGGGAGAGGGGTTTAAAAAAAACTAAATAGACATCAAAAAAAAACTAAATAGACATCAA